ATGTGAGGTCCACACACCACCTATAAAAATAGCACTTTACCCCTGCTTACACCTATATGCCGTGAGCTGATTATCGAGCCTTCATTGTAACAGTCGCGGGTACACTGTGTATTTGCATGGGGATTGTTGCAGTAGAAAATTCCACTGTAGCGTCCGGTACATTAATGGGAAACCCTAAATGTTTGAGCGCACTCTATGAAACGTCAAGCTACCCCACAGCACCCCCAAAATAAATCTCTGGCACTGCCATTGAGCCTGACTATTTGTGTTGGGGGGGGCCCGACTTTTTTTTTTCTCCAAAGGCGGGGCCTGACAGAAAAAGTTTGGAACCACTGCCCTAGCGAGAGGGTGTTCTCCACAGCAGGAGACATTGTTAGTGCCAGCAGATCTGCCCATTCGGCAAGCAATGTGGACAAGTTCATTTTTCTTTAAAAAAACATGAAAATACAATGACAAGCAAGTCATAATGTCAAACTGGCTGCTTATGTACTAGTACAGTACAGTTCAAATACAGATTATTTCAGTTCATCGAAATGCTGCACCTTATTGTTTATTTCATTTTGTATTTATTTGAGTGAATATTCACAGTTTAATAATAATTAAAAACCCAAAACTAATAGTTTATGTTTTGTGAGTACTAGTAAAGTAACTTTCAAATACAGATTAATTCAGTTCATAGAAATGCTGCACCTTAATGTTTATTTTATTATATTTTGTATTTATTTGAGTGAATACATTATTCACAGTTTAATAATAATAAAAAAAAAAAAAACATTTTTATGTTTTGTGATCATTTTTTCTGCTGTACCGAGGTACGTACGGAACCGAAATATTTGTGAACCGTGACAATCCTACTGTATAATGGTCAGTTCAATTATATTATGGTTATAAGACAACACATACTTTGGCTTTCTATCATGGGATATATCATAAGAAAAATAAAATGCTCTAGTGTGTGCGTGTGTGCGTGTGTGCGTGTGTGCGTGTGTAAATGGTCCCATTATGCTTTTTGGAGTATCTAGGAAGTCTTTGTGCTTGTAAATAGACTGCAAAGGCTAAATTCCCAAAGTTCCTTCCGAAGGGAGTATTCTCGCCCTGCCTGAACGCCTCCATTGGACTCCTTGTTATACTCGCGCTTATATTGGTGTTAGCGCTCCAACACATTGTACATGATAGGCTAAGGTCAGGGACATTTGCGACACATCCTTGAGTGGTTGACCAATCACAACAGAACCAGCCAGCTGACCAATCAGAGCAGACTGGGCTCTGGTTTCAGACAGAGGGTGAAAAGAGGTGCTTTAGCACAGGCAGTATGAGAACAATGAAGAGCTTTTTGAACATTAAAGCATGGAGACATTACAGCAGAAGCACAAAATACATGTAATACAATATGGACCTGAAAATGAGCATAATAGGGCCCCTTTAATTAGATAAAGAAAGCTGGGTTTGCTTCAGGGTACACATAGTGTATACAAAATGTGATCATCTAAAAAACCGATAGACAAACTGCATTAAAAATGTAATCATCATTAATACAGTCTAATTCATATTATTACCATGAATATTTGATGGGTCTGCACATAAAGGAGGGACTCGCTTCTGGAGAGTCAGACATACCTTAACCAGGCCGGGGTACTCGTTGGACGGGAGGCCGTAGATGTGCCTATCAGACTCCTCGCCCTCAGTCAGCAGGAAGCAGGGAAAGCGCTTATTCACGTCATATGTTCCAGGAACCTTCTCTTTCCAGTAGCACACGTTGATCTTCTGCACCTAGAGTAGTGAACACCAGAAAACCATTAATACCATGTCCTCCTAAAAGACTGAATGATCGACCGAAGTGTTTACTGTGCATCCTTTTGATGAAAGGGTTTTACAAGGACAGCCTACCAACACATCCTCTAAATAAAATAACTAATTATGTCATTGGGGTCGTTTGTCGGTGTCTGTTAAGACTATGAAGAAAATAATAAAATGTCTTTTTTCTAATCTTTAAATTTTATGATTCAATGCTATAGGCTCAAACTTCTATGTATTGTTTAAGGATTCCTCTTATTCTTACAATAAGATCTTACACATTAAGAGATCCTGTCCATCGTTAAACGTATATATATATATATATATATTATATATATATATATAAATATATTTTTTCCCCAGAATGAGGACAACGAGGTTTGTCTAGCGTTATTGGAAAGGATTTCCTGTTGGCTAGTATCCTTTTGGTTAGGGACTAGGCACAAAAACCTGATTATAATTAGGGATATCATATTTTTTGATGTCATGGTATACAACTAAATACTAGTATACATGCAGAACATTTGTCATCTCAAGTTCTAAGTGATGTCCAGTGGTCTCCAGTCAGAGCAATACCTTAGCTTGCTTTGCCTTTTCACTGTCATAATTCATGGTTTAAATCCACGCTGGAATCATGGCGGGAAGCTGGGGTACAAAGTGGTAATTTAATTTATTTGCATTTGTTATAGTGCGTTAAGGTCCCTAATTAATGTTAATTATAGATGTCAGAAAGGCCCTTACAACTGATTGACACGCATAACATTAGCGGCTTGCAAGCTTACCTTATAGTACAACACCTACTCCATCCTCCTCATCTCTTATTCTCTCTAATAGAAGTGCAATTACAAAAGTAGCTCAGCAGTGGTGAAGTGACAATTGGGATTTAATTAAATGTACACATGGTTGTACAAATGACGTCCATCAGAGGCTGGCAGTAATAAGGACACATTGTTCAGGAGCTTTCAGTGTAATGAACTAACCGGCCGTGCACTCATTCCCGGGGACGATAAAAATGCAGACAGAAGTGCTCCGGCGTGCTCAGAGCCTGCGCTTTTCTAACAGTTCACTCAGGCATGCCGTTCCCCAGGCCCCCCCAGCCTGCTGCTGGCCTGAATAATGCAATTCCAATATCAACTCCAATTCTTCACTCTTAACAGCTGTCTGCTTGTTTTCCCATCACCTACTCTTTTCTGGCTGTGTGGCATTTTGCAAGATGGAAAAGGGTGCCTTGCTGACTAAGGCCTCTGAGCTGATTACATATGGAGGAGTAATGCTTTTGTTTCTGTGCCATGTGGAAGCCATTTAGTGGGGACAGGCAGCATCCTAGTGATAATATTAGCTATGGCAAGTTGATAACGTAGTTTATAATGTGTGGCTTATTCTGCTGAGGCATAATATATGAAAGATGCACACATACAACACATTCACACCTTTTCCCACACACAAATGAGTAAAAAAAAACAATTGTACGTACTTTACACGAGGGCTGCAAGAAACGACTAATTTCATAATCACACGGCGGCGTGCGTTGAAGCTTCAACGCTTCTGCCCATTCACTTTGAATGGGGTGACGTCACGCTTTGCCAAACTGCATTGTGGGAGCAAAGCAACGGAAGCGTCGGCCAATCGAATCATATGCCATTACAAGCTCTAGCCAATCAAACCACATGCTTGTGTATCCGGGGCGGAAGATTCATGTGATTGGTTGTTGGTCGAGCTTCAGACAAGCCCGCCGACATGCTTCAACGAACGCCGCCGTGTGTAGGGGCCGTTACACATGTTTTTCCAGAATCAATAAAGTTCCTCTTATCTTATCTTATTTGTGTATTTTAACTAAAATGCTGCTACGTATCATTTTTTTTCATTCGTTTTTTAAAAATGTGATTCCTGTATGTGTGTTTATGATGTATGGTTCTATGAAAGTGTCCATGCGAAAAGTGTTATATAACTTTAATGTATTATTATTATAATATAATGTACCATTATTGCAATACCTCTAGTGGCAACTGTAATCCAATGTGGGACAGCAATTTATTAGCCCAGGGTCCAGCGGTGATCACCAAGCTCTTGGTTCGATAAACACCAGCAGAGGTTGAAACTGTCACAACAGGGCCAGGCGTGATGTCCGTCACCTTCTCTTTGTCTCTTATGACCCCACCCAGCTTCTGAAACTGCCCCTGGGAAGAGAGAACAACAGAACACTTGTTACTTCCCTGATATCATGAAACTAAGGCTCCGTTTACACGGAAACGAAAACCCAAATGAACAGAATTCGATATAAAAAAGGTCTTCCGTCCACACAGAATCGGCTCAATAAACGCGTCCGTCCACACGAGACCGCTCGACCCGCTGGAGATGCTGTAGCAGGGGCGACGGAAGCAGGGGGGCCAAGGGGCCATTGGCCCCCCCACTTTACAGCCCTGCCCCACATTTTCGCAGCAGCGGATGCTGCGGAACAGTACATCCCGCTTCAATAATTCCCCTCTACTCTAAAGTCGCATCAAGAAAGAACGCGATCTGATCTAGCTGTGTATATTTTGTTATTTTTGCAAATTGAGCAGATGATAAGACAATCTCATTAGCTACAGGCAGCGACAGAGGCTCATATATTGCATTGGGTTAAATAAAGCAGGCAAACATAACAGGAAGAATATTTACATTTTAATCCAATCAAAGAGGACATTGTCACACCATTGAAATGTAGGCTATCCATTAGGGGTGTAACGGTATACGTACCGAAAATATTCGGTATAGGCCCTTCGGTTTGGTACACGTGTGTTTGTCGGCATTGTTCAACTAAAATTGGTTACGCGGCTGGCAATACATCAAACGTGCACACTCATTTGAAAAGGCATCACCCGAACGTGAATATCACCGGTACCAAAAAAAAAAGAAAAAAAAAGACTGAAGTGCAAACCCAACTCCCACTAGCATTTAAGCCTCCACCACTCTCAAAAAGTTCAGACCGAGCCAAAGCTTTTACAAACGCCA